ATTGGGCCAATAAGCCCGATGGTCCAACTGGTGCATTGGATCAATAGGCAAGTTGGTTAATCTGGTGTATTGGACCAACACGCTAGTTGGTCGAACCGGTCCATCGAACCAACATGCCAGTTGGTCGAACCGGTCCATCTGATCTACACGCTAGTTGGTTTAACTAGTCCATTGGACCAACACACCCGTTAGTATAACCGTTCCATTGAACCAACAGCCCAGTTGGTCCCACGAGTCGATTTGACAAACAGGCCAGTTGGTTCAACCGGTCCATTGGACCAACAGGCCAGTTGGAGGAAACGGTCCCTTGGACCAACAGATAAGTTCGTCCAACCGGTTCAGTAAACCAACATGCCAGTTGGTCCAACCGTTCCATTGGACTAACACGTCAGTCGATTGAATGAACAAGCCAGTTGGTCCCACTAGTCGATTGGATGAACAGGCCACTTGGTCCTACAGGACAATATGACCAATAGGCTAGCTGGTCGAACCGGTCCATTGAACCAACAAGCCAGATGGTTCCACTATACGATTGGACCAGCAGGCGAGTTGGTGCAATCGGACGACTGGACCAAGAGGCCACTTGCCCAAACCGGTTGATTTGACGAACAGGCCAGTTGGTCCAACCTGACGATTGGACCAATAGGCCAGTTGTTCCAAGCAGTCCATTGGACCAACCGGTCAGTTGGTCGAAGTGGGCCATTGGACCAACACGCGAGTTGTTCAAATCTTTTCATTGGAACAACGAGCAATTGGTCGAACTGGTCCGTTGAACCAACAGGCCAGTTGGTCCCGCCACTCGATTGGACCAGCAGGCTAGTTGATCCAATCGGACGATTGGATCAAAAGGACAGTTGGTTCAACCGGTCCATTGGACCAACAGGCTAGTTGGTCAAACAAGTCCATTGGACCGACACGCCAGTTGTTCCAACCGGTCCATTGGACCAACCAGGGAGTTGGTCCAACCAGTCCGTTGGACTGACACGCCAATTGGTCCAACCGCTCCAATGGACCACCACGCCTGTTGGTCCAACCGGTCCATTGGACCAGCACACCAGTTGGTGCAACTGGTCTATTGAACCAATTGGTTAGTTAGTCCAACCAGTCGATTGGATGAGCAGGCCAGTTGGACGTTTGGACCAATAGGCCAGTTGGTCCAACTGGTCCATTGGACCAACACGATAGTTGGTTCAACCGACCTGTTGGTCCAACCGGTCCATTGAACCAACAGGCCAATTGGTCCCTCTAGTCGATCGGACGAACATGCCAGTTGGCTCAACCGGACGATTCGACCTATAAGCCAATTGGTCCAACCAGTCCATTGGACCAACAGGCCAGTTGGTCCAACCGGTCCATTGACCAACAGGCCTTTTGGCGGTCCATTGGACCAACAGGCCAGTTGGTCCAACTTATCCCTTTGGACCAACACGCCAGTTGATCCAACCGATCCATTGGACCAACAGGCCAGTTGGTCGAACCGGTCCATTGAACTAACAGGCCAGTTGATCCAATCGTACGACAGCCACTATAGTCTTAGAACACAAGATAGGAAGAGTTACGAGTTGGGAATGACTCCCAACTCGTACAAACCCCATGAGCCGAGGTACAGTGATGTGGAATAGTGCCACACAGTCCTGAACCAAGAAGGGTCTCAAAAATACCCTTCACAAGGGCCTACACCAAGTAAAATGTTACTCTGCACAAATTAATGTAACTATTCTCAATATCTTGAGGTGTGCCCTTTTCGCGGGCGTCGCGATCACTTGAATCCTGAAACCAGGGCTCTTGCTCTTCACCATAAACTCATCCTTGAGTTCTTGATGGGTCTTCTGCATACACCAGCGACACGTAGAACGTTCCACACATGACAAAACAGGAACCGCGCGACACACACAAACGACGAAATAGAAGCCGCGCGAGACACATAAACGATGAAGTAGACACGCGACTAGCAATGACTCGCTATTGATTCGACACACAAACACATTCGACATCATGACTCATCATTCACACTCCATTATAAGCATGAAATATATATTATCTCATGCCCTCATACCATTCCATGCACACACGCATGCACGCACATGGAAAACAAGCCGAGTGCAAACCGTAGGGTTGCACCAACAAACTCCCCCTATGATTGTTGGCGTTAGGATCTTGCTCTCTCAGTTTAGAGCCATTCCAGCCAGCTTGCAACACTTCCAATGCTGCTGCTCCACCAGCATTTTAGTCATCATCTCAGCCGGCTGCCCCGTCGTCTTCACGTAACGCAACTCAATTCACCCGCGGCCACCATGCTCATCGTCCAATGCCACTTCACCCTCATGTGCTTTGTGAGGCCATGCAACACAGGGTTCTTAGCAAGAACCTAATAAACTCAAGCTATTAAGGGAAGCCTCTTGGTGAGGAATTCTGCTGGCTGCTGGTGAGTCTTGATGTAGATCGGATTCACCGTCCCCCTCTTCACCTCCTTACGCAGCCAGTGCCACTTGATACGCATGTGCTTGTTCAGCCCATGAAGCACAGCGTTCCTGGCCATCCCAAGAGCTCCCTTGCTATCACAAAACAGCGGCGTAGCAACCTTTTGCTCCTGGCCAATCTCCTCCAACAGCCTCCTCAGCCAAATCACCTCCTTCACCCCATGGAACATCGCCATGTACTCTGATTCCACGGAAGAGAGTGCTGTCTCCGTCTGCTTCTTTGACCTCCAACTAACCGGTCCTCCCCCAACTACGCAGATGTATCCTCCCACAGATGAGGAATCCTCCTTCTCAGAGGCCCACGTAGCATCAGTAAAGCAAGTGAGAAAAAGCTTGCCTTCTCCAAGCCTCTCCCCCTTCTCTTTCAGCACCTCAACCCCTTTCTGCTTCACCTGTGCAGATGCGGAGTATTGAACTCCAATGCTTGGGTGAGAGTTCAGATACTTCACCACACGCTCAGCTGCATCCACCTGCTCCTCTGATGGATTCTGCACTACCCTAGCCAGCTGCCCAACCGAGAAAGAGATGTCGGGTCTCGTGTGAACTGCTGCATACAAGAGGCTGCCCACCAAGGACTGAAATTGCTGCTGCTCCTCGGCTTCAACCCCTTCATCCTCTGCAGCTTTCACAAGCTTGAATTCTGCTGGCAGGGGAGTTGCAACCTTGCGCTCATTCTCAATTCCGTACTTCTCCCCAAGCTCCTTGATGAACTTCTCCTGGTGCAGCTTCAACCACCTGTGATCCAGATCCCTCTCCACGTGCATCCCGAGGTAGTACTTTACCTCCCCAAGGTTCTTGCACTTGAAGTTCTCCATCAGCTGCTGCTGCACCTTCTGGATCTCCTTCATGCTGCTGCTAAAGAGAAGAATGTCGTCCACATAGACCAGAAACAGCACCAGCTTCTCCCCCTCCCCCTTGAGAAAGAGGCTCTCATCACAGCTGCTGGTCCTGAATCCCATCTCCTCTAAAACAGCTGCCAACTTCTGGTACCAGCAGCGTGGCGCCTGCTTCAAGCCGTAGATGGACTTTTTCAGCTTGCACACCCTGCCCGTACCATCCTCATACCCAGGTGGCTGCGTCATGAACACCTCCTCCTCTAAAATCCCGTTGAGAAATGCCGTTGATATGTCCATCTGGATAATGAACTTCCCACTAACGGCTGCATCTGCCAACAAGACACGAAGGGTAGGGGGTTTGGCAGTGGGAGCAAAGATCTCATTGAAGTCCCGCTTCTCCTTCTGCATAAACCCCTTAGCCACCAACCTACTCTTGTAGATGGTGACCTGCCCCTTGTCGTCAGTCTTGATCCTTAGCACCCACTTGCATTGTACCGCTTTCTTTCCCTCAGGCAGCACCACTAGTTCCCAAGTCCCATTCTCCAGCAGGCTCTGGTACTCAGCATCCCTGGAAGCTAGCCATTTGTCCCTATCTGGTCCAGCTAATGCCTCCTCCATGCTAGCTGGTTCCTCTGGTGCAGGGGCAAGAAAACAGTACGCAGGTTGATCCTCCTCATCCGGGTCATAGCCATGCGGTAGAATCAGCAATGCCTCCTCGGTTCCAAGCTGCTGCTCCGCTACATCAGCTCCTGCAGTCAGCTTCTTAGTAGCCATACGGGTACGTCCTGGCCTGGAGACGGGTGTCTCCCATCCCTTCATAATAACACCCTTCGGCTTCTTAGTTTTCCCCTGCTGCTGCTCTCCTCCCTCGGATCCAGCAGCTCCACTAGTGCTACCGCTAATCTCCACACCATCACCTCCACCAGCAGGTGCCTCCTGCACCTTCTCTTTATCACCACCCTCTGCAGCTGCCTCCTCTCCCTCCTCCCACACACTAGGAGTCAGGTCCAGCTGCATGGTAATCTGCTCCATCTGCTGGGACACCCTGGCCTCCGGCTGTTTCTCCCAGCTCCCATACATCATGCCCTCAACAAACTTCACATCCCTGCTGTCAAACAACACACCCTTGGAAGGCTCCCACAGCAGCCATCCCTTGCTCTCAGCAGCCAGCCCCAAATGCACACACCAGATTGCACTCGCCCCCAACTTACTGCGGTAGGTCTTGGGAACGTGGGCGACTGCCATGCAACCGAACACCCTCAGCATGTCCACCGGCGGCTTCCTCCCAAGCCACCTCTCCAACGGCACCCACGAGTCATCCCCAACCTTTGTGAGTACCCTGTTCCTAGCGACGGTAGCGTGCCGAACAGCATGGGGCCACATCAAGTTGCCCAGCCCAGATTCTATGAGCAGCGCCCTAGCTGTCTCCAGAATTGTCCGGTTCGCCCGTTCTGCTACACCGTTGGACTGTGGGGTGTAAGCCGTGGTCAGCTCCCTCTGGATGCCCTGCTTCTTAAGCCAGGCCGTCATCTCAGCTCCAAGGAACTCACCACCCCGATCTGTCCTAATCCGCTTCACCACACACTCCGCTTGCTTCTCCACGAACGGCAGCCAATCGTCCCGAATCGTGGAGGCGGCGTGATCTTTCTGCTTCAGCGGATACGCCCACATTAGCCTGCTCCAGTCATCCACTATGGTTAAGAAGTACCGCTCCCCCTTGTGCCCTTGCACCGGCAGCGGCCCCACCAAGTCCATGTGGACCAGCTCCAACGGCTTTTTGCTCCTGCCAGCCACACTATGGAAGGGGAAACGGGTGAACTTTGAAAGGAGGCAAATTTCACAGTTATCATCGGGTGGTTGTCCGTTCAGCTTTAAGCCCTTAACGGCTCCATCCTTCTCCAGCTGCTTCAGCAAAGGCATTGCCACATGCCCCAAACGTCGGTGTGCAGTTGCCCAATCTGTCTCCCCAGATCTGGCCGACACTTTCACACCAACCCCTCCAACGGCGTTGCACTCCCCCTGGGATGCAGACCCCTCTCCAGCCTGCCCTCCACCGTGCCACGCCAGCGCCGGCAGCTGCCACATAGATCTGTACACGTCCTTGCTCTCGTGCAGATCCCAAAGCACCCGATTGCCCAGCTTCCCCTTATAAGTGCGAGCCCCATCCGTGTTGGTGTTCACCCCAGCCTTGCCAAGCTTACGGAGGGAGATGAGGTTGGCCTTCAGGTCGGGGACGAGGAGAACGTCGTGCAGCACCACCGGCTTGCCATCCGCTCCCTTAAATGCAGCTCGTCCCGCACCAGCCACCTTCAACATGTGTCCAGAGGCAGAGCACACCTCATTAATCGGTGCAGCGCGTACGTCGTCCAGCAGGTCCTTGCGCGGCGTCATTGTCCAAGCAGCGCCTGTGTCCAACACCCAATAGTCCAGGGGGTGCAGCTCTGCTCTAGCCTTAGCAGATGCGTCTCCTTGCTCCCCCTTGTCTCCCATATGGAAGAATTGGCCCGCGGTGCGCTCCTTCTTCTTCTCCGCACCGCCGTTGCCCTTTGGGTTGTTGTCGGACGAATCAGCGACCATGTTGGCGCCGTTTTTCTGGTTCCTCCGCGCGCCGCCATCCTGGTGACGATTCTGGGGGGTCCATCCATCGGGTTTCTTATAGCACAAAAACCAGGGGTGCCCTTCCTTCTCACAATACCAGCAACTCCCTTTCATTTTGCCACCAGCACCCGACTTGCCCCCACGTCCAGATTTCGCACCGCGACCCCAACCGGTACCTCCTTGTTGGTCGTTGGAGTCGTCGTCTTTCTTTGCACCGCGTCCAGCACCACCGAAGCCACGTCCTTTGCCACGTCGGCTCCCTTGCATCCCGTAGCCGCTGCTGCCGTCGTCTCCACCCCTCAGTTGGCGGCGACGGAAGTCCTCCTCCAGAATCTTCGTCCGCACCCACTCGAGCGTCCACAAGCTCTGGTTCTGCGGCAGGCTCAATCCGCTCGTAAATTGAAGCCAAGATTCCGGCAGCAGCGAGAGCATCTTCAAGCACTTTGTTTGCTCCGGGTAGGTAATTCCTGCGGTCGCCAATTTCGCGTAGAGGTCGCGCAATTTGTCCAGGACAGGTTGCACCGGCTCTCCCTCGCTCAGGCGCAACGCGGACAGCTCCCTCTCCAGCATCAATGTTGCAACAACGGAGGTCGGGGCGTGCAGCTCCTTCAACACGGTCCACGCCTTCGGACCGCACTCAACCTCCGGCAGCAGGTGCATGACGTGGTGACGCTGGTTCAGCTCCAAACTCTGCGACATCAAGTAGTAGCCAGCCGAGGCGCGCTCGTCCCAATCTTCCTGAAGGGCGGGGTCATTCGGTCTAGGCTCCTCCCCAATCATTAGTTTCAGCAAACCGATTTGACGGAAATAAAGTTGCATTTTCCAGGCCCAATCATCATAGCCCTCACCATTGAACTTCTCGACGGTGAAGTTTTTCAGCACCTCCTTGATCAGCGAGCCCTGGCTTGTTCGCGCTCCCCTTGGCGCGGAAACACCAGAATCATGGCTGCCGCTACGATCTTGGGCTGAAGATTCACCAGCTACCGCCGAGGTGTTGCCCGCCATAGCTACCTATATCGAGGATCACTATAACGCAGCTCTGATACCAGCTTGTTGGTGTAAGGGCCTAATAAACTCAAGCTATTAAGACTTTATCACACTTAAAACCTCTCCTCGGGGTCACCTCCAAGGGTCCTTGGGTGCCTGGTACAAGACCAGCCCCTATCCTCGGGTCCGAGTTTGTAGAGAGAGGGATCAAGAGGGACTTAGTCAAAACAGCAAGAGTACCTTGAAAGTCGCGCAGCGTATCGTGCAGACCGTCGATCGGATTAAGCTGAGAATTTCCTATATCGAAGCTCACTCTAAGAGCTTTAAAATAAGCCAAGTTGCCTCGCGAAAAGTTATGCCATTACGAAGTTATGGCTCGGACAGCGTTAGCCTAGCGTTGGAGTGCTAGCGTACTAGCGTTGACTCGGGTAGCATTCCGCCGTCGCACCGCGTAGAAAAGAAATTCCAGCAAGGAAGGAATTTGCTTGAATCAATTTCACTATATTCAGGTACAAACAGAGAAGGAATAAATAGTTCTAGCTAGCAAGGACCTTGGGAATCAACCTGGGAATAACCAGGGATGATCCCAAATAATTCCAAGCAACAGAACCAACCTGGCTGGACAAAATAGCAGGTGATAGGTTGGTGAACAACCTCTGGTTCTGTTTTTCCAACCTGGGAAAACAACAACCAGGTTCAGGTCCTAAAAACAGAACCTGTTTTGTCTTTGCCCAACCAGCCAAATGCTGGTTCCGCTGGTTTCCCCTGGCCCTGTAGCATGCAGATACAGACAAACAACATCCAACCTTCACCTAAATTGTACCCCTATAGTGCCTGCCCTGCTACACTATAGTCAACCAAACAAAACAGTACAATTTCGAGTTGGATAGAACTGAATCTGCGCAATCAAGTAAGTTGAACCGCAAAGCTTCCATCTTGGGTTCCTTTGCGAGCTCGTCCTTTCTGCTTGTACTGTTCATAGCGCGTACAATGTTATGCCGAAGCGCACATTTTGCGAGTACCTGCGAATGCTTCAAGCGAAAATTGCGAAAGCAAACAAAGACACAAACATACCATTCACACGCAAATGCATTCGCACACGCATACTCGTACAAACAGACGGCAGGATGTCGTGCAATGTGAATTTGCACCCAACAGCTTTGTGAGGCCATGCAACACAGGGTTCTTAGCAAGAGCAATGTAACCCTGGCTGTCACAGTACAGTGGGGTAGGTCCTTGCTGCTCCTCCCCCAATTCAGCCAACAAACGCCGCTGCCAACAATCTCCCTTACGGCACAGAAGAGTGCCATGTACTCGGACTCCACCGAGCTCAATGCTTGGTCCACCTGCTGCTTCCTCTCCCAAGAAGTTGGGCCTCCACCAACACAGAAAACCAACCCTCCAACACTTGTCATGTCCTCTGGTTCCGATGCATATGATGCATCCGAGTAGGCGGTGAGGAACAAACGCCCGGGTTCTACACCATCCGTGCCCTTTTGGCGCCTTTGCGCCGCCGCCGGGTATTGCAGCCCAACGGTTAGTGTTTGGCCAAGGTACTTGGCCACCCTCATTCCAGCTGCTACCTTCTTCTTATTAGGGCATTGCACAACCCTAGCCAGCTGCCCAGTAGCAAAGGCCACGTCTTGCCAAGTGTTTACCACCGCATATATGAGGCTGCCCACCAACGAGTGAAGATGTTGCCTCTCCTCCGGTCCCTTCACACACTTGAACCCAGAGGGAAAGATTGTAGCCACATGATCTTCACTCTGCCCAAAGTTGGCAGCCAACGCCTCCAGGTACTTTCGTTGGTGCACCCGCATGCACCGCTTCTCCACGTCGCGTTCGATGTGGAGCCCGAGGTAGAAGTTCATGTCGCCAAGTGCCTTGCACTTTAACTTGTTCTGAAGCTTCAGCACCACCTCATTCACAAGGTCAGAGGTGGGTGCTAAGATGAGGATCTCATCCACGTATACCAGCATGAAGCTCCTCTGCTCCCCCTCGCCAAGCATGAACAAGGAATGATTGGCCGTTGAGGGAGTGAAGCCGATCTCTTCCAAAACTTCGCGCAGCTTCAAGTACCACTGCCTAGGGGTCTGCGTCAGCCCATACAGGGCCTTCTTCAGCTTCAAAACTCTTCCACTACCCTCATCAAACCCCTCTGGCTGCGCCAAGAAAATCCCTTCTTCGAGAATGCTGTTGAGGAATGCGGTTGTCACGTCCATTTGTTTCACCACCCATCCTTTGATGGCAGCCCCCACGAGAAGGGTCCGCAACGTCGTCCGCTTCACCACAGGAGCAAACAGCTCCTCGAAGTCCACCTTCTCCTTCTGCTGGTACCTCTTGGCTACAAGCCTAGACTTGTAGCGCTCGATCTTACCGTTGGCATCCGACTTGTTCTTGAAGAGCCACTTAGATGTAATCGCCTTACGCCCCTCCGGCCAGGGCTGACCTGCCCTGCTTTCCTGGTGTATTATAGGTCAGCATATTAGGGGCTTAAACTCCCCTATTGTCCCTTCCTTCCTCCTCAGCTCCAGAGACTTGAAGGCCTTGGCGTTGCTGCGGGGTGACTAGGATCCTTGGAGTACTCGTAGCACGTGAAGGAAGTGCCGGTGCACGCTCGCTCACTTGCTGCACCTCCTCCTCTTCTTCCTCTACATCCTTGGCCTCCTCTCCCTCATTCACATGGGAAGATTGCCTTGTGATGGTGGTGATGCTGCTGCTCAGCTCCAAAGACAGCTCCACGTGCTCCAGGCCTGAGCTTCTCACCTCCCAAAACCGCACACCTATCTTTGTCTCATTCTCCGCCTTCCAATCCTTGTACATGAGGTTCTCCATGAAATTGCAGTCCCTGCTCACCATGAAGTTCTTGGTGAATGGGTCCCAAAGAAGCCATCCCTTGCTGTTTTGAGCCATGCCCAAGTGCACAGCCCATATCGCCTTGGCACTGACCTTGTTGTGCCGAAGATGCTTAGGCACGAACGCCATGCACATGCACCCGAACACTCGAAGCATATCCACCTTAGGCTTCCTTCCAATCCACTCCACAAAGGGCACCCATTTGTCTGCTCCGACATAAGTCAAGGCTCTGTTCTTAGCCACACACGCACTCTGCACAGCATCAGGCCAGAAGTATTCGGGTAGCCCGGCTTCGATGAGCAACCTGCGTGCCGTCTCCGCCCCAACCAAATTATTGGACCAACATACCAGTTGGCCGAACTAATCGATTGGACCAACAGGCCAACTGGCCGAGCCTGTCCATTGGATCATCAAGCCGTTTGGTCCAACCGAACGACTGGACCAACAGGCCATTTGGTTGAACCGTCCACTGCACCAACAGGACGGTTGGTCCAACCACTCGATTGGGCCAAAAGGCTAAGTGGTCAAACAGGTCCAATGGACCAATAGGCCAGTTATTCGAACAAGTTTATTGGACCAATAGGCCAGTTGGTCCAGCGGGTTGATTGGACCAACAGGCCCATTGGCCAAACCAATTTATAGAACCAACTGGCCAGTTGGCCGAACAAATTGATTGGACCAATAGGCCGGTTGGTCCAATGGATCGATTGCACCAACAAGCTAGTTGTCCGAGCCAGTCCATTGGACCAACAGGCCGGCTGGTCCAACCAGTCGACTAGACCAACATGCCATTCGGTCGAGCCGCTCCATTGGACCAACAAGCCAGTTGGTCCAACCAGTCAATTGGACCAAAACGCAAGTTGGTCGAACTGGTCCATTGGACCAATATGCCGATTGGTCCAACCGGTCGATTGAACCAACAAACTAGTTGGTCGAACCGGACATTGGACCAACCGACCAGTTGGTCCAACAGGTCAATTGGACCAATAGGCCAATTGGTCCAACTGGCCGATTGGACCAACAGGCCGATTGGACCAAAATGTTAGTTGGTCCAACGGGTTCATTGGGCCAACAGGCCAGTTGATATAACCTGTACATTGGACCAACAGGCTAGTTGGCTCAACCAGTCCAGTCGGCCAACAGGCTAATAGGCCCAACCGGTCCATTGGGCCAACAGTACAGTTGGTCAAGCCGGTCGATTGGACCCACAGGCCAGTTGGTCCAATCTGTTGGTCCATCGGGTCGATTGGATCAACAGGCCTATTGGCCGATCCAGTCGATTGGACCAACCGGCCAGTTGGCCCAACCGGTGGATTGGACAAACAGGCAAGTTGGTCTAGCCGGTCCACTGGACCAGCAGGTTAGTTGGCCGAACAGGCCTATTAAACCAACAGGCCATTCGGTCAAACCAGTCCATTGGACCAACAGGCTAGTTGGCCCAACTGCTCCATTGGGCCAACAGGCCAGTTGGCGGAACCGGTCGATTGAACCAAGAGGCCAGTTGGTCCAGCCAGTTTACTGGACCAACAGGCCTGTTGGCAAAACCAATTGATTCCACAAATAGGCTAGTTGGTCAAACAGGTTGATTGGACCACCAGGCCAATTCGTCCAACCAGTTGATTGGACGAAGAGTCCAGTTGGCCGAACCAGTCAATTGGACCTACAGGCCGATTTGTCCAACCGGTCGATTGGACCAACGGGCTAGTTGGTCGAGCCGGTCTATTGGACCAACAGGTTGGATGGTCCAACAAGTCGACTGGACGAAGAGGCCAGTTGGTCCAATCGATCGACTGGACCAACAGGCCAGTAAGATGAACAACTCCATTGTACCAACAGGCTTGTTGGACCAACTGGTCGATTGGACCAACAAGCCAGTTGGTCGAACTGGTCCATTGGACCAACATTCTAGTTTGTCCAACCGTTCGATTGGACAAACAGGCAAGTTGGTTGAACTTGTTCCGATCCATTAGACCAAT